GGAGTTATTTTCGCCAACTGCAATATTCTAATAATTCGTGTAAAACTAAAACCAACGACGGACACAATTCTCTGGTGTTTTGAGAACTGCATTCGTTGTTAAAATTTAAAACTTGGGTTTATGTTTTAGTAGGTCGTAGGTGTACCTAAGTATACTCCAACATTATACACTTATCCGAGCAGTTGAGCCGCCCGATTAGTTCGTAAATTACTTTTGTATGTAAATGTAGACGCACCACAATATAGTATACCTATCGTGCACATTTTCAAATCATTCGTTTTACCACAGACATTATTATCGCGTTATTATTATTAAATCGGTCTGAACTTTGTATAGCATATTATGCATAGTTTGCAACGTCAGCAGTTTTGAAAAACACTGCAAGAGAGTTTGAATTTCTCAAAGCACTGTATAGGTGTATTTTATTATTACGCATTTGGCCCTCGAAATTTGAATGCTTTGTAGCAGCGATGTACTCGACACACGAAGTGGGATACAAGGGGGTCGGTCACTCCACCTATCAAAATGGGTGGTGGGTGGCTGGCAAATTTACTGGTGGATGGATTTACTATGAGACGAACTATATTATGAATATGCAGTCATTAAAGTTACAGAATTAAAAGTAGTAACAACCCTTACAGAAAACGAGTGTGGGCAGTGCGTTTGATAAAGAGGTTAGCTAGTATATTATGTGGGTGAATACAATGAAATGTTGAGTTTCGATCCGATACCCGGATATAGTACCACGTAGAAACATAATCTCTCGGTGTTAATTCTCACGGAGAGCGGCATTTTCGTATATTCTTTAGATTCTGTTATTGTAAACGATATGACGCGTATAATATTATACGATTTGCAAACGTGTTGTGTTTTATATTAAGTATATTATATATTGCGCGTAGTACGAGTTTTCAGCAGGATTAAGGTTTTTCAAGCCGGTGGTGTGCGGGGCTGTGGGGGGAAGGCGCGACCTTTAATTTAATGAGATGAAAAATTGAATTCTATCGTTATATTTTTCAATCGGTCGGTATAACTCGTATAGTGGGGTGATGTGGGGACGGTAAAACGGTGATGGACTATATATTAAGCATCCCCTCGCGCCCACTGCGGAGCTACACTGGAACCACGTTTTTCACCCACTCCGAGGGGGACCTTTGAAATGGTATAGAACGTCGACGGCTGAGAAGAAATCAAAAACCATTTTTCGTACCTAATCTCGCGAATAACGAAAGCCGCGGGACCCGGAGATGCGGAATGGCTGCGAGACGACGCGTATTTCAAACGCGTACCTGCCTATATAATATGTTGTAAGACTATAATAAATAACAATAATATATTATATTATATATAGGCACGAAAATATATCTCATTCGTACAATAATAGTTACGCTCCATGCACACACGCACAGGTATAATAATAATAATAATGTATAAATAGGTATATATATATTATATTATTGTACCTATAATATGATGGCGTGCGTATGTGTGTGAGTGATATTTACGACGGTCCCGCTGTGCTGCTGCTGCTGCAGCGCGCGCTCGGCTCGCCGACGTTCCCTCACCCGCGACCCACCGCCACACGTATGTACCGAATAGTTGGGATTCCTGAGCGCGCAAGGCCGAATTCCTCCAAGGTAGACACCCGTCCTCTCGTCGCCTCGGCGTCGTCCTCCTCCTCCTCCTCCGCCACGTCTTCGCGTCCTCCTCCGCGCGCCCGTCCCGTCCCATCAGTGCGGCCCCCACCACTGACGGTCGGACGCCGCCGCCGCCGCCGGCTCCGGCGGATGGGCAACCGAAAAACTAACCCCTTGGGTCAAATTCCGGTCCCGGGATTCTGTGCGCGCGTATGACCTCAGTCTCTTCCTGCGGCTCGTGAGTCCCGCGTCGTCGTCGTCGTGCGTGTGCGTGTACGTGTACGTGTACGTTGGCCGATAAAACGTCGCCGCCGCGGTGCTGTCCCGTCCGCCGGACATTGATAGTATTATTTTTTTACAACAACAATATTGTGTTAATAATTATTTGTACGGCGATCGCGCGTTTCCGCGTCCGTCCGTCCGTCGCTCCTTACGCGCGGTAAACGATCGCGATTTGATTATTTCGTGTCGACTTCCTTTTTGTCGTCGCGACTCGTCCCCGCCCGCGCGTGTCAGCGGGTTGTGATGTGCACCGCCGCCTCGACCGCCGCGTGCACGACGATGTTCTCGCATTACTGTTGCGACACTTGGCCGCCGCGCTGCGACTACACGTCCTACTACGATCAACTGCTTGACGTGCAGCTGTACCAGGACAACGACGGGCGCATCTACTGCGTCTACGTAAGCCACACTCCTATATAGATACAGCAGTAGTGCAGTATAAAATATTGTGTACATACACGCGAGTTCGGCAATAATTTTTGTAGCAACTTCCATAATATGACATCGAACTTTCCAATCAACGACATTTTCTGTTTCTCGAAACTGTTTTGAGAATCAAACCAAATTACAACTATATTTATTTAATTCTAGGCTTAACAAATTTCTCTACAATATACGAATTTTTTGTGGTGCCCACGAGGCTTCGTAATTTGAAAGTTTCGTCATATTTCTTCGCGCGGCCAAAGTCTTGCTTTCGTGTTTTTGTTGTCACCCCGGCGACGATATTATAATATTGTCATCAAATTATTATTGCTATCGCCGCAAGACGATATTATTATAAATTATAATAACATTATTATTGCTGTCCGACCGATTCGCGGTGTTCCGTCTGTCGCGTGGCTTCCGGGCTGTAAAACTATGCACAACTCTCGCGGCATAAATAACGACCATCTCGATTAAAGTATATTGTGGTTCGCAGTTACGTGGTCTGTCGTGTCGTGTACAAAAGTTGAGCTCGTACTAACTCAGGAAATTTTCCGGTAAACCGTGATTATATAAAGCTAGTGAACGATACGACGGCAAATCGGGACACGATAAATCCACACGACAGAAGACGTAGCTGTGAGCCCGGCTTTACTTTAGGTCCACATAATTATTACTCGCGTGTATAATAATGTATATAGATAGATAATATTATTATATAGACATCGAGCGCACAATATAGCATGATACGAAACTGCTTGCAGCTGCTGCAGGTCTAAACGAAAACAGATATTTTTATAACCATAATAATATAATATATTATACTTTTATATATTACATCTCCTCCCAATCCCATCGTATGTGTGTCGCACATAATATCACAACTAATATAGGATTAGATGAAATTATACAAACTTATAAATCGATACCCAGGGTGATGTAAAAGCTGTTGCTGCAGCAGGTGGGCGAAACGCGTTTATATTATAAATAGTGTTGCAGCAGCGGAGGATGTATATCCGCGGCGTGCGTTCGGCTCAGATGGTTTTGAAAGAATTGCCAAATATATGTCTCTGTCGTCGACGCCCTAAAAAATGACCCATATGAAAATGCCCTTAAAAATATGCACTTCGGGTTCAGGCGACCTAGAAAGAAACGAAAAACGTCATTAAAAAATGACGACAGTGTAAAATAAAAAAAATGCAATATACAAGTTGTATATAACACACACACACACACACTAGTTATAATGTGCGCGTCTGTGCAATGACGTGTACGGCGCCTCGAGAGAGGCGGGCACAACCTACTAAAAATCGCCTAATATAATGGTTGATACTTATATATTATTATAATTATTTGGAAGGAAAACATTTAATTTTTTTTTTTACTACTCCGTAACTGCCGGGCACCGAACGAATATTCTTGCATTTTTTAATATGCGGACATTAAAGTAGGTACCTACTGACTATAATATTATACAAATACACATTTATAAAATTCAATCGCGTACACACGCTCCAGACGACCGTTCGTCTCATAATATACCTATATAATTAGTTTTTTTTTATACACCAGCGAATATTGTCGTCACAACAATAGTTTGTTATCGTATATTATTATTCATTATATAATAATAATAAAATGATCACTGCACCATCATAATATATTATCCGGATTACAATATTATATTATTTTAGTTTATTATACGATTGCATTTCGTTGTTTACAATATAACGCGCGTGTCTATATTGTATACAAAGTCTACACAAATATACGATGCACATAAATGATAAATTACAATATGTAAATATATTCGACAGTTTGTCAAATTACGATATCATTATATTATATACCTCCATAAATTGCTAAAAAAATATATATTTACACGATTCAATAAAATAATATTATGTACCTACCTTATTATATATTTATATCTACCATACGCCGACCCAAGTCTAGACGATTTTCTCATTCGATAACTGCAATGCACTTAAATAATGATTTTACAAAATAATATGTTAATAATATTATAGGTAGGATGTTACTCATCAACCTGCAGTCACGGAATTCGAAAACTTTTTATATAAAGCTCAAGCTCCTATTTCGAACTCCGTACAAAAACCGATTCATTTCATAATTATTATTACGATACAAATGTTTTTCGTTCTGTTTGCGATTGGTATCTACCGAAGTTTTAGACTTGTTATGTCTACGTCCCACGTCTAATCCTTTAACTCGTCCTCGTAGTGCACAATATTACATATTATGGCATTGGTTTCCGAATATTATATTATTATATAGTTTTTAACCAAGATAATCGGCAATTATTCGTGTTACTTGCTTAATAAAACGAAATCATTATCTATGCTCGTATCCAAATGTATTCACTGGCTGAATACAAGTATTATATTATTATACTCATGACCTAATTATGCTCACTGTAAACCCATGTATGAGAATAAGAAATTAATTATATTACGATGTTTACCTTTGACTTAAAGATTAATGTTTAAAAAAAAACTGAATACGAAATAAAAATGTATTTTATTATATGGATAAAAACAAAAAATATGAACATAACATAAATAGATCAATAGTGTATATTTGCATCAGTAAAAAACAAAAACAAAACTCTAATTCGTGATTAATTGTGTTTTCCAGGCGAAAAAAGAAATTTACGACATAAAACAGCAACGGTTGTATTTAGCTCAAGACGAATACAATCACCTCAACAATGCTCTGTCGACATTAAACACGTCTAGAACTAGTCGTGAGTATTATACCTTCTATATATATATATATTATGTATATAATTAAATTAAATTTTCCAATTGCGTATCTATATATTATAATATACAATACCAGCTACGTATTCGTATAGTATATAGTTACCTACCGGACGGAAATATTATCTAAGTTCTAACGATCGTTTCGTGTGCCTTGGCTGTATTATAGTCTGTTCGAGCACCAGTAATATAAGTACAAAATATGATCCCGATTTGCTCAAGTCAGACGTCGCTCACGCCCGGGAAAGAGTTACCAGGTTGAAACGCGAATTGGAACAGATCGGCGTCGAGATGTCGTGCACGCGACGCGGAGTCGAGACCCTCTCAAAGTACGTATCTATAATAGTAATATATATAATATTATTCAAACTAGTTTGACTATAATATACACGTACGATAAATATATATAAATATAAACAGACGAGAGTTCCGATTTGTCCGTCATCGAAATGCGCCGTCAAGAAGCCTCGTGAAAGACGTTTTTCGCGTCCCAATATATATTTCTATAAATAATAATAGGTATATATATATAATACAGTGAAACCTGTATGCAACGGACAGTCACCGGACCCATCAAAAGTGTCCGTTGTAGGTTTAGGCTTTATTTTAGTCAATTTCGCTCGCATACGAGTATATCTATTCAATGAAAATATTGTGCTTTTCTATGAAATAAAAGCCGCGATCCTCGTGCCTTGACGTATGAAATTACATTTGAGTTTTAACTAAGATTGTTGTCTACAGTCGGAATAGCTTATAGACTATAGTAGAATGAGTCTTATTGGCAATCCCAAATACGCATTGGTGGAATATATATGTGTACCTACCAATATTATTTTACCGGGACTTAATCCATATTATGTCCGTCGAGAGAGGTGTCCGTCAAGTGTCGGGTTTCGCTGTTCCCCTATAATATTATGCAAACTAAATGTCTGTTTCGAGAAACAGGTGTCATCACTGTGTTATCATATTATATTATGATGTTTTAACGATCGATTGCTTATTGCAGCGTGGAACAAAAACTGTCGAACGACGGAAGCCGTTACAACGTGGTCGAGGCTCAAGCGATCGTCACCGAGCTGCGAGAGATCCAACAGTCGCTGAGTTCCGGACAACGCGAGCGCACCGGCCTGATGCATTCGCTGGCCAAGTTGAAAGACGATCTGACGCGACTGCAGCTGTGTTCCGCCACCGACGATCCCGATCTGCAGACGCAGCATTCGTCGTCCACTCAGCTCAGCGACAAGCTCAGCACGGCTTCGCAGACGGACTTGTCCGGCGAGGTATGTGGTATAGAGTGGCACTATATGTGCACTCGACAAACTTATTACCCACTCCCTATACCATAATAATATACTGGCCCCGCAGTGGCGTGGTTACCGGGGTTGTGGTCGGGTCGGGAGAGTGGTATAATATAATATTATTTTAACTTTTAAGACCCGAGTCGCTGCCCTATATAATATATTATATCAACACCCCAAGTTTTTATTTGGTTATTGGCTGTAATGCGATCAACGCTTCTGCAGCAATATCGTATGGCACGACGAGGTTGCTCTTGAAAATTATTGCTCGACGTAAACTAATAAACACGCCTTTTCTAATGTACTTTATGGGCGTGTTTATTGAATTCTCTGGTTGTGATAGTATTGTTAAACAATCTAAATTTCGAAGAGTTTCGTTGTAATAATTCCACGCTGATGGCCAATATACGTATTGGCGTATTACCGAAAACCACTTATTATTCTATTACAATTATTATCGAGTTCGCGTGGTTAATGATCTAGAACCGGTGATTTACGTCATAGATCTCTCAGGGGGTTAGAGGCCACTGTTATTATTGTTGTTGTTGTTGTTGTTGTTGTTGTTGTTGTAACGAGCAACACAACGGTTAGAGATTACTTCATTATTATTAATGCCATTATAAATATGTCGACGGAGCTGATTTTTCGAACCGGATTTCAATTATTATGATAAGGATGGGAATATAGTAAACATATTATGTGTGGTTAAATCGATCATAGGTGACATCGGGCATTGATGCTTCGTTTGTTTTATTGTTTATATATTTCTATTACGATTTACGAGTGTGCTAATATTGTTTTTTCCATACAGTTGATGCCCATGGGCACGAGACTCGCCGAAATGGCGCGCATGCGTCTCGAGTACGACGAGGCGCGAAAGCGCATACAAAACATACAGCAACAGTTGGCCGATCTCGAAGAAAAAGTGATGCCCGGCCAAGAGGAGTCGGACAAGGACCGACTGCTGCTGTTCCAGGAGAAGGAACAGCTGCTCAGGGAGCTCAGGAGCATAACGCCCCGCTCGAGAAGTCACAGGGAGATGGACGACATTCAGGGGGAGATCAAAAAACTTGAACAGGACCTGAACAACGCGTTGGAAATGTCCAACAGAGCCATCACCGACAGGTAAGCAGGACGGACTCGATCCCATCCGCGTACACGTCACGGACGGTTGTCCGTAGGCAATAACAATGATTACTAATTACTAATCACGTCCGCGTTGCTTGCGTTTTGCAGGTTGAGATTGCACGAGGAAAAACAGCTGCTGTTGCAACAGCTCAAGGAAGCGTTGCGGTCGATGACGCAACTGGAATCGCAACTGAAAACGCTGTCGGCGTCCACCCTGTCGGTGAGTTCAAGCTCGAGTCTGGGCTCGTTGTCCACGACCAGCAGCAAGGGTTCGCTGAGCAGTGGTCTCAGTTTCACCGACATCTATGGCGGGCCTCAATGTCTCGCCCCGGCTACATACGACCGGCCCATCGACATGGCTGACTTGCACAAGAGGTAAGAGCCAGATCGACACCTCACCATGAAAAATATTGTTATTGTTTCGTTGCTTAATGTTGACAATTTTATAGAGTTGAGAGGCTTTTGCAAAATGACATTCAACCTCCGGCATATGAGAACCCAGGTGAATCGTCCGGTTCTGTTCCCAACGTCGCCGGTAGCGTGACATACTCCAGAAGCTGTCGACCAACAAGCCCTCCTCTCTCACCCATATCTGAGACCCCGCCCAGGAGCGTGTCGGCTGCGGTCAGTGACGAGTCGGTTGCCGGTGATTCTGGCGTGTTCGAAGCCAGTCACAAGTCTAATTTCAGTGCAGAAACTTCCCAAGTTCAAATCAAGCTGAAGTAATTTTAAACAATTTTATTCAAAATATGTAAACAGATTCTAATCGTCATTGTTTTTTCTGTTTATGCAGGTACTCGATTGCTGAGCAAGTGTTACATGTTTGTATTGAGAGATTGCGCAATGTAGTAGCACTGTCTATAGCGGAATCATGGCAATTGTAAATATCATAAATTAATATCATTATAACATGTTTGTTTCGTTTTCTTACTATGCTGTTTATGTTTAGATACATTAAAATTGTATTGTTGCCGAGCAGTTCAAATACTTCACTAAGTGGTTGTACAAAGCCTATATCGGATCTGTCAAAACCCAGATTCGGCGATAGTTTTGACTTTAATTTGCCATCCAACAAGTTATGTACAAAAACATTACAGGTCAACGTATGGGGATTAGGTCCTGATGATATAACTGAGTGTTTGGTAAGTTTTATTGTGTTGGTTCATTAATTGGACATCAAGTAATAATCGTTTTAATTCATAGGCATGTGCTCAAGTGAGTTTGGCTGAATTTAATGAGACTGAGAACAACTCTTGGTGCAAATGGTATAACCTGTTGAGTCTGAAATGCATGCATAATGGTGGTTCTCTACCTTCTATCTTGCTCAAGGATGATGGCGGTGGTTCTGACGATTCCACTATAATATCATCTCAAACTTCAACCCTTACACGCAACCAAGGTAAATGTTGTTTATCATACTATAATTATATTTAATTTACTATAGAAGTTGTCTAATGTGATTATGTAATGCATTAGGTTGTTTAGAAGAAAACGAAGCAAAATTTATTAATGTAGATAATTTAAATGAGAACGAAGTTGAATATGACGATGGTGATTCAGATGACAGTGTGAGTGACGACGATGATGACGATGAAGAAGATGACGATATTGAAGTTTATCAGCTGGTTAATGAAAAGAAAGAATTAGAACAAGTATTGGAAATTCCTGTAAGTATTAAATATTAATTTTTTTTTTTTATATTCATTTTACCTTACCTAAATTAGAAATTCAATAGAATTATAATTATAATTTCTCAGTTTGAGGAAATTATAATATTACTTATCATTGCATTTTCCCAATTTCAGCAGACAAATTAACAATAGTACTGATTTGTAAATATTTCATAAATAATGCCAAGTTTTTAATTTGAATGTTGCTAAAGTATATTTGTTAAATTCTTTATATATAATCTAAATAAATTGTTTAAAATCTGTACAGAGCAAGGAAAACGATACAGAAGATAAAGAAACCAATACAGAATGTGCCTTTGGTGGTAGCAACGGGGAAAATACCAGAGTACCTACAATAGTCATCAAAAGGTCACAAACATTTTCACCTACAGCCAAAAACCAGTATATCTGTAAAGTAAGTTAAATGCTATTCATCAAGACCTTGACACTATCAAGTATAAGTCCGTTCTATAATTTTATGTTTATTATTTTAGCTAAATCGCAGTGATAGTGATAGTGCCATGAACCTGTACAGACGACACATATCGTCAAGTGCTAGTATGAAAGGCATTGGTGGCAGTAATGCTGATATAGCATTCCGTCGCAACTGCTTGGAACGTCGTTCATTGCGACTAGGACGAGCGCCTGGCACATCACCTAGTAGATGTATGCCTGCTGTGAATGGTACATCTTGGTGTCGCCCACCAAGGACGTCTATTGATCTAGAGCTTGATAGACAAGCACAGCATGCTAGGTTGTTATCGCTAAATGATGAAATATCTAGGCTTAGACAACTGAAAAATACACTGGAAATAGCCAAAGAAACCGGTGACACCGACGTGGCTGCTTGGGTTTTGGAAGACGAAGAATTCCAAAATCTCGTTAAGGAGGTACTTTATTGGTTTTGTTTTTCTGATTATATTTCAATAGTGGTCGTGTTTCTAATAATTGCTTAATTTCAAAAAAAGGCTGGAGACAAGACCCTTGATGAAAAGAAAGTAGAACGACGGCTGAAGAGGGCGTCACAAAAATTGTACAATTTAAGAAAAAGTAAAGCCGGCCAAGGAAAACCTGACATTATTTCATTCAAGTGAGCAAACATTTGAGATTATAATAAAAAAAATCCTCTTAATACACTTGAGTGGTGACTCCAATATGGCAATATTCTTGTTGATGATTATACCTTATAATTTATAAACTAAACATTTTCTTTCTTTTGTTTTGTAGAGAAAAAATGGCATTCTTTACTCGACCTGGCGTTTCAGTACCTGTTCCCCCTACCAAATCTTCACAAGACCCAAAGTCTACAGAAACACGGTATCAATACACTGTGGACAGGGTATTTGGAGTAGAGGTTTAGTTATATTTTTGTTATTAGTAAACTAACACAAAAAAAATCCCACCTGCCGCTATTCAAAGACTATGATTTGTACATATTATATAATAAATAAATAAATAAAAGAGAAGTGGAAAATGTTTTGATTTATTACATATTGTTGTAATATAATCAATGTTACATTATTGTTTTTATTTTTTAGATAAATTTTATTTATTGTTATTTTCTTATTATATTATTATTATTATTGTTGAACGTTTTAAAAAAGAACAAAGAATAATATTTTGTATGTGCCTTAATTTATAGATTTTAGGTAGGTAGTTTATGTGTAAGTATTTAAATGTTGCGATTTGCCATAATTTATTATTAATGATAATATTGTGTATGAAACAAACCAATTTTAGATCTGATAATTCATTGTATAATTTTTTTGCTCCAACCACCGAGGTGGTTTCGAATTACTTTTTAGTTGTATGTACAAAGAACCCATTTTCTATTACTATTGTGGAGAAATAGGAATTCAATATTTTACATTTTTGGCTGTGACTAAAAGTTATAAAACATTAACCGAATTAAGGTTTCATATTATGCTGAATGAATCACGCCTTGGTAATAATAATTGTTAATTTTTTTATGGGTGCTATAATTCGGTTTGATAAAAATTGTATATTTATGTCAGTTAGACTCGCGAATTTACGCCAGAACACAATATCATATTTTATTGTCCTTTGTAAAACGAATCAGGGTAATGCGATTTTAGTTTGTATGAATTTGTATAATATTAATTATAATATGTTTATTTTTATTTTTGGAAACGCAGGAATGTTTTTAAAATAAAATTAATGATAATATTAATAATAATATGTATTTTATATTATATCCACGTTCATAATAATAATAATTATTATTTTTGTACATTTTTTTTTCTATTTATAATGATTGTTTTGTTGAGGTATTTTTTTTCTTTATCTATTTTTTTTTTTTTTTTTGTTCATAGTGTACATATTATACTATATATTATATACATAAACAATTACCTAAAACCTAACAAACTCGTTGTAAATTATGTTAATATACAAGAATTTATTATCGTAATAGTGTCGCTTGAACGAAAAACCATAATATGTATATTTTGACCTTATAAACTGGTTAGGAAAGAGTAATAATATTATCTTTACAGTATCAAATGTGCGCATTGCGTTTGACCTATGCAAGCCGTCACTCAAGTCTCTTTGGAGTGATAAAATGACTCTATTAAGTAATTCTTGTGCGGTGTCATAATGCATAATAATTATTATTTATTACATAATATGGTCTTCTTCTTCATCAGCTTGTCAGCCCATTAAGAGCCATCGCATAACCTCCCCATCTCTCCCTATCATATGAGTCCTCTTTTATATCTTTAGCCACGACATCCACCCATCCTTGGTCTTCCTAATGGACGTTTTTTGTTTACTTTTGTTAAATAGAACTTCTATCAACACTTGTCCGTCTACCCTCCATACGTGACCAAACCATTCTAGAAGTTTGATTTTTATAAATGAAATAATATTTGGCCTATTATATAGCTCCTGTAGTCCTTGATTTTTTCTTCCCTCATATGTTTGTGACTCTGCATTAAGTTTCACTCGCATATGTGACTATTGGTTATGGTACTTGGCCACGACTACTAATCTGTTCAAAATACCACCGAATATATTATGAAGCATAAAAAATTACTCATACTCTGTGGCCAAACAATGCGCATGGTCGGAGATAATGAAAACGATGCGATTTTATAGTATTAAATCGTTTGGCTAAATCATAATAATAATAATATATAACATTATCACTGCGGGGGGCATATAATAATATTGATGAATGCGCTTTGTATTGTTGTACAAACGATGACTCATGTGAAATTAATTATTTAAAAATTCCTTTCGGGCCCGTTAAACGTAGTCGTCGGTTGTTCTCTAAACTAATTTGAATCCAGGGGGACATAATATACCCGATAATCGTTGAAAACTTACATTTTCGGACGTTTAAAATCGGACCGTCATCTGTTCTATATTATTATTATCTATATATAGGTTGATAAGTCTCGGATACTTCTCGTGGTAAATATCACTCTGTGGTCGAAAAATATTTTCACAATATTGAATATTGGGCATAAAAATAACGCGTAATTTTTTTAATCATATAATATAGTATTGCTATTTTCAGATACAATCATAATGGAGGAATTCGGAATGTCGATATTCGAATGAGTACGATTTTTTAATCTTTATATTATACATTCAAGTCAAATGTCTGCAGTTGTTGCGTCGATACATGCGAATATTTCGATAGAACTAATGTACACTTTGCAATACGTCATGTTATAATAGGTAGGTATGCAAATAATGTGAACCGTTTAGTAGGTATGTAAAAGCGATATAATTATAATAAATTGATATACACAGCAATACTAGTATAATATAGGCACCTACACAATACACATAACTTTTTACGTTGCTTACGACGCTAATTAGTATAATCAGTAATTATCTATACAGCGAACGTGTGTGATTACTGATTATAATGATTGAATTGTTATTGCAACGAGAATTATATACAATGTTGTAACAGCTAACTTGTAACTTTGTAACTCAGTGGCATATTTATGGTGGCGGGATATGGGGGATGGATCCCCCCTTGAACTTTTTTTTTGTATAGTTAAGTTTTCTCATTTTCTGTATTTCTCAATATGATGTTACTTTTAAGTATGTCTGTTTTCTAAATGCTCTAGCCTTGGTAATTTTACCGCTCTGATATACAGGGTGTTGCACGATAAATGTGTCGAACTTCTAGAGGTGTTTCTACACCACGACAAAAAAAGTCCTCGTGACCATATAGTCGAACTATCAATAATAAGGGTGATAATTTCCATGTTTGTGTTTTTTTGTTGAACGCGAGTTTGATTCATAATAATGTTCACTTCTGCTAAACCGTAGGTACTACAATTAATTTGAATACATCGATGAAAAGCTCATAAAATTGGGATCAGGAAAACATATCTCACAAGGTTCCCACCTGATATTTTGGGTAAAAAGAATAACACACATTTTGTATAACTTTAAAATGTCGACATTTTAAAAAATTTCAGTTTTATCCTACAATTTTTTTTAAAACAGGTGGGTGCAAATTTCAAAAAAACTTCAAAATGTTATAAGCTTTTCAACAGTGTACTCGATTTTTCGTTATACCTTTCTGAAGGGCTGCTATTCTACCTAATGTTTGGAAAAACCGGGAAGAACGTAAACAAATTCTAAGCAATAAATACAAAACCTGGTAAACTGATTTTTTTTTTAATGGTGACATTTTAAAGTTTTAAAAAATGTGTGTTATTCTTTTTACCCAAAAATTCAGGTGGGAACCTTGTAAGATATGTTTTCCTAATCCCAATTTTATGAGATTTTCATCAATGTATTCAAATTAATTGTAGTAGGTACCTACGGTTTAGCAAATATGAACATTATATTATGAATCAAACTTGCGTTTAACAAAAAAACACAAACATGGAAATTATCACTCTTATTATTGATAATTCGATTATGGTCACAAGGACTTTTTTTGTTCCATTTGAGGTGTAGAAACACCTCTAGAAGTGTGTCACATTTATCGTGCAACACCCTGTACGCCACTATAGTCGTTCGCGGTATATATATCGGACAACAAAAACATATACCTCTATGGTAGTATGGTGTAAGTACTGTATTTTTTACTTTTCTGCGAATTATTTTTCATGCATGAGTGTTTATAATAAACGCGATAAACAATCGGTAAATAAAACAAAAATACCATGAAAACCGTAGATTTACCGTAGGGCGTGGGTTTATTTTTAGTGACTGATGTGTAGTTAGTGACTGAAAACATTTTATTCACCTCTGGGTTACATGCTTTAGATATTTGTTGTAAAGAGTTTATCCAAATATTCATGAACTCTTGAAAATATTTTGTACTTTCCCTGTATCGACTGCTACAGTGCTACACCTGAAGTTTTTCATGTTTTTATTAAGTATTAAGTCTTACCTAATACATAGTATAAGATGACAGAAGTAAATATTTTATTAATTTTCCTATCTAATATTGTTTAATAACTATAAATTAAGTAGTAATTATTATATACTTTATGTATTAGAATTTAGAACCGATTAGGGCTAACCTAACCTAACCGACTATTACTTTTAATATTTTAAAACAGGGATTTCATCAAAAAAAAAAAAAAAATTAAGGAAAAACGGGCATTTTTACACAGTTTTTTGGTCAAGATATCCCCACAATGCTAACTAGATTCACTTTCCAGCCAGAATAGACAGAATGTATTAAGCTGAAGCAGAAAGGTAGTCCCATGATATTATTACCATTTATAAGAGTAAGTATCTACACCTTGTTTCGTAAATAAATCACAAATATATCAAAAAAATAACCAATATATGAAAGTGAGCACGTTACATTTCAAACCGTAGGTACGTATAGGTGTATTATGATTTTCATTCGTAAAAAGCTTGCATATCTGCATATACATTATATTATGTGTGGGTGTGTGCTTACATTTATTATATTAAAACGCAAATTAATTTTAAAAAGGTGGGCATGTGGATTTCGCTCTGCTGTACAGTAGGTTACAAGTGGGTCACTGTAATGGATGGTGTTAAATTTGAATTCAATGAATATACATTATACGTTACGAATATATAAAAGTTGAACATTTTATACATTTGAAACTACAAAATAATTATTACATTTTAAATGTCAAAGTTTGAACTTCAAATGCTTATAAAAACAATTGTGCCTATGTATTTTCAATATTTTTCAAGTTTTATTGTAACAATATATCATTTAATTTTCAAGCTTTTTTACCCAACAAATAAAATTTTATTGATATTTATAGAAAAAATATTTAAAAAAAAATGGAAACTGAAAATGTCCGTAAACAGCTCAAAATAAGTCAATATTTTTGGAAAATGTTACGGTGTATAGAAAATGCTAATATAAACATT